GTACGCCATTTCCGCCTTTTGGCCGTACGTTCACTTTTAGTATGGTTTCCACGCAATCCTAAATGAGACTCCTGGACTTTGACTGGATCAATAAACAGCTTGGTTCTTTTGTTTGTCACTAGTGTTGTTGTTGCAACATGTGAAGCACTTTGGCCGACAGCTGTTGTTTTTAAATGTTTGTTTAAATGAGCAATATAAATAAAGCTGACTTGACTATTTCTTTTGGTGTTTTGTTTTTGACGTCATTGTCCTGTTGCATCCTGACACAGTTTGGACAGATGGTCTCATTGGTTCACAGAGGACCAGACTGGAAGGTGTCCAGAACCTGTGGAGCATCATCCTCCCACCACCGTGCTTGACAGCTGGGGCCAACTTACCTTTCTTCAAACAGGCGCAGTGCATTATGGGTAAACATCTCTATATTGAAGTATGAATTAAGTAAGTGGGGTTTAAACACGTTTTTCTGCAACAAAAACAAACATTGACTCACAGGACAGCATCATCTCACACTCCTCCTGCGGTTCCGCCGTCATCCCCGAGTCAACAGATCCGGGTTCGAAGCCGCCCTGCTCCCCGCTCTGTCGGTTCCCGGAGGTCCGGGACCTGCCCTGGAACAGCGCGCACGTGCAGCCGTGTCTGCGCAGCACCTGCAGCTCATGCTCCAGCTCCGTCAGCCTGCTCTCCAGCCGCTGGATCTCTTTGTCCCTGTCGGCCACCATCCGCTGGTACTCCCGAGCCTTGGCGCTGTTCACCCCGTACAGAACGTTCAAAACCGAGTCGATGGCTAGTTTGACGGCGTTCTCCACCACCACCGCGTCTTCGTCGCGCAGATGCGGGTACAGAGTTTTGTTTTCCATCAAATTCATCCTTAAAAAGCGACCTGATTCAGTCCCGCTAGGCGCTAAGGATGCTACAGCGAGCTGAAGCCAGCAGCTGCGGGCACACAGTCCTTCAAAAGTCACGTTAAACACGATAATTTGGGATTTTTGGACGATATAAGTCGAAATCAAACACCAAACATTAGTCCTGACGTTATTATTTACCTTACAAACCCGTCTAAACAAGTAGCAGCTCAGACCGCTGTTGACTTCTTCTTCTTCGTTTGAACAGTGGAGTAAACCCGGTCACCACAGCGCCCCCTGCTGGCCAGGAACCAGAATTACATAAATCTCATTAAAACACGGGCTATTTATATATAT